ACTCCTCCCTCCACTAACATGACACATCTCACAGGCTGTCCAACTCTCACCATAAAACATTTCCTGTAGCACAACTTCTGAAACGTGTAACAACCTTAAACAACCTTTTTTTACATCATACTTTCCACTGAAGACACAGCAACCAGTGGGAAAGTTGATTAGCATTCCAAAATGATGCAGAGTGATGTTTGAAATGCTGACACTATCTATAATGGATGCATTGGATGGTACTCTTTATATTCTTCTCTCCTTTAATTCATGAGTGTATATAGTAGCCGTTTCTCTAATTATTGCCACTTATTAATATTATTTTATCATGATTTATATTCTTGCTTCCTATATTTGCTGATCTCTTATTTTGTTTAGGCTGCACATGACAGGAAGTATTACCCAGCTTCTATTTGTTTTGTATCCTCATGAGAAAAACCTTCTTTGAGGTTAAGGAATGGATGTAAGAAATATTTTCTGTTCACCATGAAGAAAAGCAGTAAAACTTGCATAGCACATATAATTATCTGAGAATGCATCCGCTCCTCTTTTTTTCTCCTGTCTTCAAATGTTAAAGGCTTAGGGAATTATTCGAGTCTTGTATCACATCCGTACAAGGAGAGGCGAGGCTTTCCTATCTTCAAAAAACCCTTTTTCTCTGTTGACTAATGAAGCCGCGTGGTGGAGTAAGTAAGAGTCAGATGATCTCCTTGGTGCTCTTAAAACCACTTCATGCACTGAAAAACATTTTATTGCCTTATTCAGATTGAGTAAACACTTGCAGGTGTGTTTGTGAGACAGTCACACGTTTAACAAGTGATTCACTCAAAGCTCGTGTCTTTGCCCAGCGAGAACCCGGCCTTTTGTGGGTGCTACTTGGCATGTGACTGCACTATAGACGTCCCAGACGTCGGTATGCATACATCAGTCTCGGCTGTGCCCTCTGCACTTCCTGCCACTCATCTAGTAGCAAATGAGAAAAGGAAGGCACAACTTCTGGGGGAAAAGAGGCAGCCCACTGCCATGAATGCTGCCAGTTCCTCATTCCTTCTCCTTTTCATTCTTTTCCTCTGTTTTGTTGTGGTGAGGGTAAATACTGCGGGACAATGGCCGTGTTGACCTAACCTGAATGCATTCTTTAGCTGTGAGGAAAGGAGATATGTTGTTTCTGTCCGTAGTAGTTTTGGTTCATTCGAATAGTTTCACTCAACTGTGTGCGACTAAAGCTAGACTAAACATAGCAGGAGTTGGTGAAAGTAGACTTTCTATTGAAGATTTCTGCTTTGAGTTTTCATGTTTTACAGACAAAATAATTAGCCACATGGAGGAAATTTCCATCATTCTACTTAAAGATGAGAGTTATGATGGATACAAAGGCAGTATAAGGTTATTGAGTACACAGTCCCTTTTGTCAGCCAACATGTGAGTGCTAGTTTCTACAGGGTGTTACATGCTTGCTGACTGATTGATGAGGTGAGTGCAGCGTTGCAAAATTACCGATCCATCATCACACCTGGTAGGGAGTCATCCCATCGTCACCGTTATGTTTTGTCATCTTGTTTGCTAATTTCAGGTTACAGCAAGGTGGGAAAAGACGTGACATCTGATTAACTTCAGCCTTTCTTCTTACTTTTGTCAGACACTTTATTGCCTCACACTTCCCCATAATCAAAACTACCAGGTGTTAAATTCTTTTTGTGGCTTTCATTATATTGCCCTTATTTACAAAAAGTTATATTCTTCAGTTTTGTTTATTTGCTTTGGGACACATTCAGCGCCAATGAGGTGCTTAGAGATGTGATATTAACTAAAAATTAATTCTATTAAATGTGGTCAATAAGAAAGCTTCATGTTTTAATGCAGACCTCAGATTTAAAACCTTATTAACCTTGTTGTTGAATATAGGCGGCAGCTTTGGGTGTCTGCTTACTCTTTTCCATGAGCAATGCTCAGCATGGCTCGAGATGGGTTTGGTCTGATTAGATGGCCTTTTTCAGCAGCATGGGTCCATGCTTTCCCACAACTTTCAGTACCTGCTGCTTCAGTGTTGTTCCTAGCGTACTGAGCCGTTCCAAAAATGCATCATCAAGTGTTGGTCATTGATATGCTAGAGGGCGGCGTCACTGGTTGGTTCTGAGTTTTCTGCCTTGTGCCTCGCTGCTTGGAGATGCTTTTGGGTTCGGAGTCTGACAAAAGCCAGAGACTGAGCAGAATGTGCAACATCATCACCGTTGTTGTGTTTTGTGCAACATACAGATCACCTCGCGCTACTTTAGGGCTGGATTCAGATGGCGGGTGCTGCAGATCCACCCCTCCGAGTACTATGACACGCACACCCACTGGAGCCGTGTCTCAGTTTTACTTAGAAAAACAACCCACACTGATCTGAGTTGAGTCTAGTTTAGCTGAACCTAGTATTGCTCTGCAAGGAAAAGTGGAAAATGTAGAAAACTACAGACAGTAGAGGAAGCAAAACGACTTTGCTCTGCATGTCGGTCTAGCCACGCTCCATTGGAGCCTCAGCAGATCAGACTAGTCTTGTCAACACAGCGCTCTTATCGGTTTGGTGGGCAGGCTGATGTGATGGAGCGGAACAACAAAGATGGCAGCAGCCCATTTGAATCGACTTTGGAATCAACTTTGGACTATTTAGACTTGGGCTTTACTTTGAGTTAAGAGCAGATTGAGGTACTTAAGTCCTTTATTTAGAAAAATTGTGTTTTTGCATCTTCTTCAACTGTATAGGGTGGACCGTAGCGCTGATACCGGTATGTTGTTTGTTGTCACGTTAACATGTTAAGACAGTTTGAAAGATGGCGTTCTATGTGTTGTGGCCAGACTGTTTATTCACATATAAACTGATGACCATGATGGCTAGCCTGATGGCTTACCAGGCTAGCAAAATGTAGCATACCACAAAGTCTGTGCTGTCTCCGACCTGCTTTTCAGTGCAACTTAGTAATGTTGTAATGGCCATGGAGAAACAGTTCTTTCTGAGAAAAGCTGATTCAACATGACAAGACACACCCTCTTACATATGCATGTCCCAGACCACTTCATTGGCAATATATAAATGGCCGAGCTACTGCTGATGCTAACCTGAATGACTGCTAGCACCCTTGTTGGACAAGAGAAAAACAACTAAGAAGAATGTTGGGGCACCCTTCACCAACCAGATAGATTGACAGCTTGTGGTCCTGGTCCTTGTCCTCCCCCCTCCCCATGGACGTTGGTCATTTTGCTTAGCTTCAGACTTTCATACAGCCATTATGGTAAGCTGGCCAATTAGCATGCAGCTCATTTATTATTCAGGTACAGGCCGAGTGGGCGGGGCAAATAAGTATTTCTTCTGCAGGGTTTATTATGGTGGTGTTTGGTCATTTATCTGGGCTCCTAGGCCATTTTGAGCCCCAACAAAGTTTCAAATGCTATTTAGAGAATACAAAAAACTGTTTCTAGTTGTTAAAGAACCCCTTTCTAATGAACTTTTAAAAGCTTTACTAGAAAGGATTTCTTTTCCATTTCAGTATTTTCTAATGTTCAGACTCTTCTTCTAATAGTTATAAAACATTTCTTTCTTTATTAATTTAAGTTAGTCTCTTTCTAGAGTATTTCTCTTATCGGATAGCACAATCTAGTGGCTGACAATCACATGACACAAATATTCTCTGGAACAGTTTTTTTAAGATGACGACTTCACGTTTCTGTTTATAAATGTGCTTTTGTAGCTGACAAACAGAGCTAAAACACGTTGTTTTACAAGTATTCTCATGTCATGTTTTCACATAAGACTTACTTGTCCGTGAAAAGTTGATCAATTCTGCATCAGCCAGGTACTTCCTTAAATTTGAAATAGGTAGGCGGTAGTTTAACGCTATTGGTTAATTCTGGTTGGCGCTCAGTTTCCTATTGCACGGAGCTCTGCGGGGCAGGGGGCGTGCTTAGCAAAAAAATGAATAAAGATGTACTGCTTACATTATATCACAGTACATGATGAGACAATCACTTTCATGGATTTCTGAAAGATTATACATAATTTCTAAAAGGAGGAAACTCCAGAAAACTCCTTTAATTCATTATAACATATGTTTTAGTTTAATATTTCCCCAAAGTATAAATATCTTAATAAATTAGAGTTGGGTGCCACACAGTTAGGATTTATTCACAAAAGTAAATGTCTACATTCAGAGTATGAAGAACACATTCCCACTGCTGGCTGTTGTGCTCCCTGCAGTATTTCTCACATATCTTCTAAATACTGAATGGTGGCGCCATATATCAGATTTTTCTGGCCTCATTATGGTTTCTTCATCTTGTTTTGTTTTTCTGATTATTTAGGACTATTTCAATGTCCTTTATTATATGGAAATAGAGTAACTGATCTTGAGGTCCAATACACACAAAGAAGACATTATTTTAAGTCTGGTTAGGAAAAAAAACATCTAATCACTCAGAACACTGGGTTGGGACAGAAGATGACGTTGGATACATGAAGCTTTCAGAAGAAACGCCAAGCAGCCAGTCTGTTCACCAGCACCTTTCAGCAGCACAACAGATTATTTAACAGAGCAAGGAAGAAGAAAAAATAGCCTGGAGAGGCTCTGAATATTCCTTACAGACCAGCCAGGATGTTTTATGATTGTAAACTTTCATACCATGTGGTTTTCCATGTGGTTTTCATCTATAGTCTGTTATTTGATGATGTGAAAATGGGTTTTTATGGGTGAATAGTTTTAGTGAGTAGAGCGAGTCCTGCTCCTCGAATCCAGTGATGTTAGTGTTGTGAGGAGTGGCAGATGTTATCTTTCAGATAAGACAGGAGACGGAAAACGGATCACAATGCTCAGAGATTACAAGTCAACTAAACATGCACACAAATGCAACATCTGCTAAAGGACTTCTTCTTATGTTGATTCAACTCCTGGTTGATTCAACGACAGGAGTTTACTGTAAACTGAAATTTAAACTGTATATATTTGTTCTATGATGAATGTGCTTCTGTGTCATTGCAGCTGACTGATGGAGGAAAGGCAGTCAAGGCTGGAATTAGCATCGGAGACATCATCCTTTCTATCAGTGGGATTTCCACTGAAGGCATGAATCACCTTGAGGCTCAGAACAAGATTAAAGCCTGCACAGGTCACCTGAGCCTCACCCTGCAGAGGTAAAACTTACACACACTTACTTAATAATATGATTTTAAAGAGAAAAAAATGGCAATACTGTAATAGAAATGATGACTACATTCATTAGTATTCACAATAAATCATTCTTACCAAATAGTTTAAAACATTGTTTTAAAATTTTAGCATCTTAGTGTTTTTACATATTTTTGTAGTGTTTCTATAGTTTTATTTATTTTTCCCCATTCCTGTTAAGTGTCCTTGGGTGTCCTGAAAGGCACTGTTAAATAAAATGTATTATTATTATTATTAGGTTATTATTGAGTTGAATGATGTGGCAATAGTTTCAAATTCAGATAGAACGTTATTAATCCCTCAGGAAATGTCCTCTGGGAGATTAAGTTCACAGCAATATAATAGTGAATTAAAAACATCATGAACAATATAAAAAATATGAAAAAGGGGGAAAATGCATCAGCAATAAATTCAGTTATTCTGCCAATTAGATAATAAAAAGTCAAATAAAAATGCTCCTCGGTTGTGCTGATGCATGCTGCTACCTGCAGCAGACACAGGTAAAGTCTTTCTTACACACAATGTTTGTCATAAATATCTTTACCACAGGTACCTTTGAAATATTGTGCTTTTGTTTCAGAAATGTCAAGATTTGGAAAGAGATGGAGTTTTTATTTTCCTGAAAACGTCAAATTGTAGTTTTGTTTGGATTAGGGTGGATGAACGAGATGGAACAGATGCAGGTGGAAGTAAGAGAAGGTGCTGGTTGAAGCTGAGCAGCAAACAAGAAGAAAAATGAATCTAAAATTTAGGAGATCTCAGAATAGTCAAAAGATGAGTAAAAAACAGAAAACTAACTTAATCATCTTTTTCCCCCAAGATTTAAAAACCCTTGTTCTCCATTTCTACCCTCAGAAATGCTTTTTAAAATGTATATTAAGAGGTTTCATGCATAATAACATCGTGTTTAAGAATTGCAGAACACAAATGCAAGGCAAGGCAGCTTTATTTGTGTAGCACCTTCCAACAGTATAAAACCGACCAAAGTGCTTCACAGAAATAAAAAACATTGAAAACAATACACAACATAAAATGCATAAAAACTAAACTAACACTAAAAAGCCTCTCATGCTGAGTTAAAAGCCAAATCATTAAAATAGGGTTTCAAAAGAGATTTAAGAGATGTAATGGCATGCCATCAGGCATAAACATGTTGATCGAAGTAAAGTTTAAAACACTTATTTAACAAAATCTTGGTGCAGAGTTAAAAAATGCTGCTGTTTGATCTTCTGGGCCTTGTCAAAACTGAGGAGCTAATTAGATATTTTTAAAGCCGCCGTAACAAATGCAGAGAGGACATGAAGCACCGTTTTAATTCTAGGTTATTACAGAAAAGGTTCTAGCTAATGGTTTCCACATGTTCTTACTAACTTGTGTCGAGTATAAAATAGTCAGTAGAACAAATCCAGTTTATATCTGATCGTACAGCAGACCCTGAGATTATGGGTCCAAGTTTAGTCATTTAGATTAAAGTCTTTGGTTGTTCTAAAGATAACCAGAAGATCTTCAGCTGCAGATGAAGAAAGCTACACTTTGTCTTTGTTAAAAAGTCTCTGAAATTCATTACTAAATACACCTGGCCAGGAATTGCTTTGCAACACTCCCCAGGTGATGGAGAAGTCCGAAGCAGAAACATCTCAGAGAAAACATCTCCATCAATGCGTGTGCGCGAATCCACACTCAAAAATCTGCCTTTAGCTGCAATAGAAAATAGACACAGAATAGACAGAAAGGCTCATGTCAGATAAAACCACACAGATCTACCTCACACCGTCACTTAACAGTCATGCACTAACCCATCTTGGCTCGCGACGGGGAGGGCCGTTGTTGATTTAGCGTCCAGGAATCAGCAGAAAACTAGCAGTGGGTAACCGTTAGCATTAGAAACTCCACCAGAGAGCAGAACTCCTCCAGGCTTGTGTTATTATTGGAGATAAAACATCAGCGTTGCAGAGCTAACAGTCAGTGGTAGAGTCTTTTTGCTGTTAGCCAATCAGAGGGGAAATGTGAAATGAGACTCCAAATCCTGCTGCCTTCCACTTACCTCTCCTCTGGCTCACTTCTAGTTCCTGAAATGGGAGGGCCAGAGTTTTATTTTTTCCCACAAAGATCAACTCATTCATACTGGACATCACATCAAATGTGTTAAAGCGAATGGACTTGGTTTTAAAATATCTTTTCTAAAACAAAAGTCACCCACGTAATTTTGTAAAAATGTGCTTAAATGTCAAATCCTGCTTTAAGTAAATCTGTATTTTTGATGGGTGAAGAGCAGCTTTTCTGTGTTGGACAGAGACAAATGGAGCCAAAGCACGCATGCCTTCTAAAGCTGTAAAACACGTTGACAGCAAAACTCATTCTGGTTTACTTGTCCTGTCATTCATCACCACATCAAAGGAGAAAGGAGTCTCTGCTTTAATCATGGGAACGCCATCTGAAAATAGCCGTGCTCTACAGCTGTCTATAAACTGTGTGTGTAATGGATGCAGAATGAAATGTTCGGCCCTTGTTGTGCAAATTAACTACAGACAAATCAGCCTTTAAGGAATAAAGATCCTCTTGTTGCAAATGGGACATAATTGTGGTTTCCCTTCACTTTGGGGAAGAAACTGTTTTGTGGCTTGTTTACTTATTTTATCTGGGTTTTGTTGTATGAGTGATATTCGTGTCCTACATTTAATTTCTTGTGCAGGTGCATTTAGCTTCAAAATGAATAAATATTAAATGTCAATTTCACTGAAAACTCATTTTTTTTAATGCTTATTTCTGATTATAATCAGTCACTGAGTTGTTCATGCAGCCTGAACATGAAAATAGTTTCCTACTCCGATCTCCTGCATTAGCTTCTGATAGAACATAGACAGTGAAACTCTAAGATTAGAAAAGCCTGACAGATCTACGTCACACTGTCACTTAACAGTCACGGACTTATCCATCTTGACTCACCACGGGAAGGCTGTTGTTGATTTAGGGTCCAGGAATCCGCAGAGAATGTCTCTACTAGTAGAAGCTAACTGTTAGCATTAGCAACTCAGTCACGCAGTAGAACTCCTCCAGGCTTGTGTTATTTGTGGAGAAAAGCATCAACGTTGCAGAGCAAACTAAGTCAGTGGTAGTCATGGTGCTGTTAGCCAATCAGAGGTAAGATGTCCAAATATCAGGAAATAAGACTCCAAATTCTGTGTCTGAAGCCATTTCTGTACTATTAACTTGTACTTCCTGAAACAGATGCACAGGATGACCCCCCCCCCCCATAGACCACTGTAAATGTATTAAAAATTAAAGTTGCTCTTTCGACAGGATATTTAGACTTTCAACTAACTAATAACGCGATTATTATGCATCATTTCTAAAATGTTGCATGCAGCACCATGAGTAAAAACCTGAAGGGATTCTTTCTGTTGAGCTCCAATTCTTCTGTTCTTGTCTCCCAGATTTAATTTATGGTTTTAATAATCGCTGAGAAGGCTGTTGACATTAGAGCGGCTCTACTAGAGCGTGGCAGGAAGATTGATGTGACGAGTTCACCCCTTTATGTCACTTTGTCTTAGTTTAGATTCTTGAGGCACTTCCTGAAGAAGATGCTTTGATATTCAAACCATCTGGAGGAGGAGAATAAAAACTCTGGAGGGGAAAGAATCCATTGTTTATTTACAGTGTCTGATTTTGTGATGTTGTGATGAGCTTCAGCTGTCCGCATATGCTGTTTTATTTGTAGCACGTTTAATGAAAATGTATTTCCCAAAAGTATGTATGCAATGACAAGTGCATCTAAAGCTGCAGTGTTAGGAGAAATTTATTACTCCAATATTTCTACACGCATAATTCACTGAATAAATTGTCTTTTTAACCCTCCCTTGAGGTCCACATGCTCCCTCCTCACCCCTGCCACATACCCAAGGTATAAACCATCAGTCCTGCTCAATGGTCAACTTTCCTCGCGGGACAGTGGGAGGGTTAAACATTTTAAAATTTTTATTTCGGTGTATTTATGCTTTAATCAAAGAAGATAAACTGTAGACACACTTGAGTTTCAATGGATGACATGTTGAGCTAAGGCGGGAGAAAAGGGCTAAAAGGCTGTGTACACCCTGGACAGGTTGCCTGTCAATCACAGGGCAACACAGAGATGCACAGGATGAACAACCACATGCACACTCGCCTGAGGACAATTTAGACCGACCAATTAACCTGACAGTTATGTTTTTGGTCTGTGGGAGGAAGCCAGAGTACCAGGAGAGAACCCACATGCACAAGGAGAACATGCAAACTCCTTGCAGAAAGATCCCTGGCTGGGATGCGAGCCCGGGACCTTCTAGCTGCAAGGCAACAGCGCTTACCACTGCGCCACTTTGCAGCCTGATTTAAACTATAAATGTGAAAAAATGTATATAAAAAAGAAACTGAATGTACAGTATAAGCTAAAGACTATATGAAACGTCTTCTAAATATCTAAAGAAATGTGAAAATACAATAAAAAATCATTATGAAAATTTACAAATAGAAGTCAACTTCAGGGTTCATTTCAAGATCCTGGTTCTGGTTTTTAGGGCCCTACATGGAAGGTGACAGATCATTTGCTGCTGTGGCCCCCAGACTCTGGACCTCTCTCCCCCTGAGATCAGTGGACTCGAGCAGGGTTCAGCCAGCTGCGGGGCGTTTACTGCTTGGGCCACAGATACGTGTTAATGGGGGTTACTGTAGCATCTCACTAACCAATCAGAATGGGCATCAAAATACGTTATTTTCCTCTGCTACATTTGTCAAAATAAAAGTCTACACTAAATGTTTGTGCCGCACCGCCACAGCAAAATAACTTAGTTGACGGTTTTTATAGATATTTTGACGTTGTAATGACTCCAACGTTTTCTGTTTTGGATCTTTATTCCGGGTTACTGTTGGCCGCAGCCCACGCCTTAACTCCAGGAAAAACAACGTTAATGATTTCCGTTCAAACTAGCTTGTT